GGACCTCTGAATTCTAATTTCTCTATTTTCTTAAAAATTGTCTCTTCCAGCAATTTCCTTGGTCAGTGGGATACCTATAGTAGGTGGCATATCTCATGATCATCTTAAGGTCTGTGAATTCAAGTCACAGGCCCGAGTCTCTGGCCAACTTTCCCAGGAACCTTTTCTTCTTCCACTCATTGAGGAAATGAGTGCTTCATTTCATTCAGAGCATAAGAACTTGGAAGTAGAAAAAGTTATTTTTCAACCTTTACTCTGCCAACTAACTATTGGCAAAAGACCTGGGTGGAAGGAACTTGACCTCTCTGCCTCCCTATCTGCTGATGAGCACAGTAATGATTGAAAAAGATAGCATTTTGGGAGGTCAACAAAATCAACATAGTTATCGAACAGCTTTCAGCAGAGTGTGAACCCAGAGCAGAAAGCTCTGTTGCTTTCTGCCATGCCCCACTTATTGACTACTTTCTGCTTGGTGAGACCTGGCCACTTACACAGCATCCGAAATCACTTTCTGTAGAATTCTTTATTGTTACCCTCTGAGCTACCAGTGAGAAAAGTCAATTTTGCCACCATGTTGTAGAAGATAAGGCAACTCAATCTAAGAAACTTAAGGGCACCACGCCGGGGAAGCAGATGTGAATCTTTTTCTACAAAGTAGAAGGAGAATATTCCCAAGTATTCCAGTCCATTAGAACAAGTTTTCAGAAACAGCAGGTTCTGACTGTTCATTCCCCCACATAGGCAAGGATGTAGGACATGAATGCAGCCGTCCCAAGGGGTACCAGGCACATCCTCAGCCCCTCCAAATGACACACAGGGACAGGACCACGGTGGACCTTGAAGGCTTCCCCTCTGCTCAGGCCCATGCTCCTGCAGTCTCTTTTCAGAGGTTAAAGAATTCTCCCGAGGGCCGGGGATTTAGCTCAGTGGTTTTGCCACCTGCTGTGCAAGCACAAGGACCCGAGTTCAATCCCCGGTACCAAAAAACAAAAAGAATTTCTCCCGAGATGTTGATTTGTACTTAAACAAACAAACAAAATGACCTTACATTTGGAAGCCTTGCTGCAATATTATATGATGATGTCATTATTTGTGTAGTCCTAGCTGAGCCTATAAAATCCAAAGGCTTGACAATCTGTACTTACAGAAATAGATTTAGCATTTTCCCACATCATTTACACACACACATGCACACACACCACACAGGCACACACATTTTTTTTAAGTCTCAGGCCATTTTTTGATGTGACTATTCTATTTTGACATTCTTGGAGCAGCTCTGGTGAAGCTAAAGATTAAAATCACAAGTCTTGCAGCTCAGACAGGGAATAAAGTACACACAATGAAGGTGATCTCATGTACTCATGATTATGCCCTTAGAGGTCAAGTTCACTTGAGCTATGAACCAAACAGAATACAGCATTTAGACCAGGGAACTTTCTTTACCCAATATTAATTAATGAATTAAAGACATTTTCATATTTATTATTAACACGCTGATTAAACCAGACATTTTTCATGCTGCTTCTTTTTAACTGGGGACTATTTGTAAAAATAAATATGCAGTACATGATGGCAAAAATGATGATGATGGCCTATTGACTTAAAATGACAGAAGCCCAGAGCAACATATTGCCCATTTTAGGTACTTAATCTCTAGAACTTTTATGCAAGATGAATTTAAGAGACCCTGAAAAGTGAAAAATAATTTCTGAATCAATTGTTTTTATACTTATAGGATAAGGTCAGGGCAATAACAAGGAGGTGGCTCTCCCCTGAACAGTATCAGCCTCCTGGCACACCTATCCCCACTGTGTATGCCATTCAAAGCCAGCCTCCCAACAAGTCCCAGGCTTCTCCTTCCCACAGACAACTGTGCTGAACTTCTGCCAACATGTCCACACCATCGTCATTCTGCCTTTCAGGGCCTATTTCATAGCTGGGGCAGAAGAACTTGGTGGGACAGCCCTCCCCCTCCCACATGAAACAAGCCACTTTCAAACGAGGTTCCCATTTGTAAGACAGCGCTAGCCTGGTGGCCCACTTTTTGATCTTGGCCAAGCCTTGTGATTGCTGGGGCATCAGTGTCTCCACCTGACCACTGAGGGACCTGGAAGGGCTGCTCTTGGAAGTCTTTGCTAACGGGGGAGCCTGGGTTTCCTGTTTGCTCATCTGGAGTGCTTATCAAACCTGCAGGTGATCCTGTAAGCCTGGGTCCCTTTTCGTCCTTTTTGTTTTTCCAGAGGATGTGAGGAGCCCTTCCCGAGCAGGACCAAGATCGACACTGGAGTTCAGATGCTGCTGGTGCCAGAGTCCTTGCTCTGAGTCCGTGCACCACTGCTTCACCACATCCAAGCGTCGCCTGGAGTGGAGACAGCTGCAGAGTGCACACGTGGTGGGGCCTGGCAAGCCAAGTGTGGGGGGGGGGGACAAGCCCACCTGGGCTTCGTCCCTTCCTCCCATCTCACAGGAGAAGCTAAGGGAAGTGGTTTCCAAGGAAAGTTCCTGGCTCTAGTCTGGCTCACAACAGGGGCTTTCTGGGCTAACAGAAAAGGAGTGGAAAACAAAGGCGCCAGCTGAGGACAGACTCCCCCCTGGGCTCAGAGACACTGCGTCTTTCCCAGCTGCAGCACAGCCTTCTTTACAGGCACCTGGCCACGATGGCCTCCGGGTCAGCATCCTGCCAGCTCCTATAAGCAGATCTCATTATGACTGCTTACTTCAAAAAGAGGATTTAACCCAAAGCAGATTTAGCAGGCAGTTTCCAAAGGGCAGTGAAACCCCAGGCCTGACCTCTGAGAAAATCTCAAAGGCTGCACTGCCTGGGAGCTGGGGGCGGGGGTGGGGGTGTTGGAGGTCATCAGAGAAGCCTCAGGTTGCAGAGGACCCTCAGATAGCCCTTTGAGTTATCCAGGTCCTCCCGGGGGTGTGCAGTGTGGAGAGAAAGTTGGGGCTTAGTTGGGTACTGAGCCGAGGAAAAACTCCTACCCACTCCTACCAAGAAAAATCACTAAACTTTAAAGTGCTTTTAAAAGCTAAGCAAGAGTCAAAGTTCTCAGCTAAATTCTTACCTAAAGCATAAAAGTTTGATGCTATATCCCAGTGGTACTGTTCAGAGTATCAAAAGCCTGGTAAGGTAATTGCTTTTATAAAAATTACTTTATGACTTTTAATACTTTCTGCATAGCACTTTCTTTGCTCAGGAGAGGTTGCTGTAGTTTAAATGAAATTAAATACCTCCCCCAAAAGGGGGCAAAAATTGGAATTGTTTATGTAGAGAGGACCAATGTAAAGTTAGTAAATAAATGTATCTGGGGTGAGCTCATTGTATCATGAACCTAACATTACTCTGTGAACTACAAAGCTCTCTATCATGTGTTGTTATTATTTCAATTACTCTTACAGTTCACAAAAATTGGAAAAAAAAAAAAAGAAGAAACCACGGGGATCAACAGTCTACCACCTATACATCAAGGAGACTCGCTCTAACTGAATGGGAGCCACCTCAGGCTCCATAGGAAATTGTAATAAAGACTGAAACCTGTTTCGGAATAAAATGCTTTACAAAGTGATAAAAAATAATCCCCATAGGTGCTCTTTAGCATGATCTGATTTCAGATTTTTTAGAAAGTTATTATCGGACCAGTTGCTATTCTTTTACCTGAGCACATTCCACCATAGGATAACAAGCTAGATGACTTATTGTAGATACATACAATTTTTATTGTCCTAGAAGCCTTGTTTGCTGTATTTGTAGCTTGGGGTTGAAAGTTCTCAGAGATTTAAGGGGTGGGATTTATTCTCATTGGTTACTCAAAAATGTCAAACCACATTTTCATCTATTTATTCAAATATGAAGCTGGTCAACTTTAACTTAAAGGTGCTTAAAGACAAGTACAAATAAGCAATAAGTTAACGTTTTTTAATTTTTCCCTTCTCCCTCTCTTCCTTCCGTCCCTCCTTCTTTTCTTCTTTTTTTCCTTTCTTCCCTCCTTTATTTTTCTTAGTACAACAATCATCTGGTTAGATATTCTGCATTAGAATGTGGTCAGGTAATAAGGCAACACTTGTTGGACAGTACATAACACTTCAGCCATTGTTCCCTCTTTCATTTCTCCTATGCCAAACCCAACAACAAACATGTTGATAAACATTACCAATAATGTTCTGATTCATCTTTTATTTATTCTTATTAGAAAAGCTTTCCCTAGTGCTAAACTAACTGAAAAAAAAACTGGATCTCTTTTCTGGTAACTGAATAAATCGTGAAGCTGGAACAGATAAAGATGTTTGCCAGTGGCTCTCAGTTGCAAGCCCCAAACACAGAAGCAGACATACTGGCGACTCAAGTCACTGGAGTTCAATAACTTTGGTTCCAAAGACTGGGAGTCACAGACCTAACCAGTCAGCTGAGGGAAAGGAGAGAGTAATTCAAAACATGGTACAGAAGAGCTAACTACAAAGTTTTTCACTTCTGCTTCATATGTGGCAGTTCTGGTGTGAGAACACCAAATGTCTGTGAGAACAGGCTTAGAGGCAAAGCACATTCGGTTTTTATGTGGTTTGGGCTTGTTTTTATAAGGAGTTTTAAAAGGTATGCGGCTCTTAAAAAGTAAAGCAGGCTGTAAAGTCATCAAGTCATTTATATGGAACCAAACACTAAGATTTTTCTACACTAGTATGAAGAATAAATACTGTAGGATTTGCTTATGATGGTTAAGTTTAAAAATCCCTGAAAAGTAGATTTCAACCCGAAAGAGAAAAAGTGGATTCTTTCAAATAGAAGGTAATTCACAGGGAAGGTTTTCAAATGTAGACGCTTCATTGATCAAGTTCAAATGCAAGCTCCCTCGGTTTCTTCCCTTGTGGGAGCACCCTTGTGGGAACGTGATATCCCACACATGTGCACCCCAAACACATTCACCTGATAACCTCAGGCAAGAAAGGGGAACCGGGCTGCGGCACGGAGCAGGACAGACAGGGACAGGTGCCCGAGCTACCTCTCGCGCTCCCGCTCCAGCAGGTTGGTGAAGTCGTCGCTCTTGCTCATGTAGTCTGAGTGCTTGTGCTTCTCCGTCTCCAGCTCGTACACTGTCCGCCGGTGACACTTCTCTGCCAGCAGCAGCTGCTCCAGCATACGCCGGTATGTCTCCTTCTGCTTCTCCTCCAGCCTGTCCAGCTGAGGAAGCAAAGATGGGGAAGTGCGACATTTTATTTCACTCACACAGGACTCCAGGGAGTGGTTCACATTTGTCTGGTGACTGATTACCTGGAGAGGAGACCACTGAATGTGGTGTTCTCCTCCATTTCCACCATCCCTGCGCTTTATGTAACTGACTTCATAAACAAGCCACAATGTTCAATAAATAATAACAAGCTATAGTTTAACTTCTGGCCCTCGGGTCCTTTTTCTGTAAATACAGTCATGGTTCCTAATCTTTCAGGAGAACAAACTCTTCCACAGTTTTAATGAGATAGCACAAAGAAAGAAACTGAAAAACATCCCTCTTGACCTCAGAAAAATTAAGGTCTCAGCATGTACAGGTACCAAGCTTCTCCCCTGGCATAATAATCTTTTTTTAAGGCTTAAAGCTATATCCATTTCTAGGAAAAACCCTATGAGGGATCCAAAATCCTCTTCTTTCAAGCGATGCAAAAAGAAAAAAAAAAAAGAGAGATGCTAAATATAAGGAGGATTTTAGAACTTGTAGAAAGTATATAGCTCTACAAGAGGTCTAGCAAATACTATTACAGAGTTGTTTGTTCCATTTTCTTTGGTCAGGGTATCAGACCTTTAAGGGATCATGCCTTGATCATCTTTTTAGTCCCTAGTACTGTACCTAGCACAGTACCTGGAACAAAGTAGCTGTTCAGTAAATGCTTGTTAAATTGGGCCAAATCTTCACTGGACTAGGCTTTCTCATCATTGGCACTACTGAGGCTACATTATTCATAATATCAACTAATAGTCTAATTAAAGATCTAAATAATTATCGATATAAATAATTGAGATAATGGGGATACTTTAGATCAGATTATTTAGGGAACTTGCTGCAGTAGAGAATGGTTAGCAGTATCCCTGGCCTTCCCACTAGGTGCCAGTAGCAGCACCTCTAGTTGTGATGTTTTATCCTGACACTGTCACAGGTCCCTTGGAAGGAGAAATCCACCCCTATGCCACTACCTCACTGCTGCTATAGTCCAAACAGACATTTGAAATCCTTGCTCAATCCAACAACCCAGTGGGGCATCTCAGAGTGTCAACATCAGAGCCGTTTGCCCTTCAGTTGTAAGAAGGATTGGACTTTTTCTCTGTTCCTGTACAATTCTCATCACAAACGGATTGCTTCTGGGGCCAAAATAAAACAGAAGCTGCCCCATCATCCTCAGTACCTTCTTCCCACATCTCCACTGCCTTTATTTAGGAACCAGTGGCCAGATGGAGAAGCCCACATTAACTGGCAGCTGATGATATCTAAAATCATTAGGATTTGGTGAAATATATTTCTCTATCTTCTGATAAAGTTTTGTTTATACAGTCTATACGAGAAGTTTCCTATTGAAATAGGTCCCTATTGCAAACTATTCTCCTCAGGAACACTCCCAACTTTCTACAAATGTGATTTTTACCATATTTAAGGAATTCATCTAGTATTGCTGATGCATCATCTTATCAAACATGGGGAAAGCTTTAGTAACTTTCCCCCTTTCTCACCCTACCTACATCACCATAAAATAGGACCCTCTGTCCTTGGAAGAATCTGAAGAGAACCTGCTGCCTGTTTGTCCACACCCTCCCCATCTCCTCTCTAAAGAAGGAGGGGTGATTGGAACAGGAAACTGGGCATCTGCAACTCAGCCTATCCATTGTTCTCTGAAGGACCCAACCTTCCCCAGCACCTCTCAACCCATCCAAGGAATGGTGCAGGGAAGATGTTGGCATTATTAATTGGATGGTTGACTGAGAAATCCAAAGAGACAGATGGACAAATGGAAATATCAAGAATTGTGGGAGGCAGCCTCCGCCTTCCTACATTCAGTCCAAGTGGGCCCCTGAGACTGAGGGTTCAAAGCAGCTGCTGTCCTGGGAGAGGCCACTGAAGCAGGATGCTCTGTGGACAATGCACTCTGGACTCAGCTTGGCCCACCCAGAATCACGTTATCAGGAAGGCCATGTTTCTGTCTCAATGCCTATGCTGCTCAAACAGTACTCAGGCCCAAACTTTAAACTGTGGAGGCATTAGTGTAACGATTTAACTTTTAATTTAAATTCTCCAAATAAGAACTTAAGCTGGTAGCAGTAGATCAGCCATGGCAGATGCTATTTCTTGCTATTTTATTTGGAAACACTCAGACATCGCGCTCCTACAAGAGAACTGTGGTGGCCTATCCTCTTGGCTCTCTGTGGCTTATGCAGAGACTCTGAAGACCATCCACCATAACTCTGGACCAGAGAGAGATTCATGAATCATATATACTGTGTATCTGGATTTTGGTGTTCAGGATCCAAGCTGTGGCTCGGCACAGAGGAATGGGTTTTACTAATGAACAGTGAAAATGGAATGGGCATCGATTGCTTTGGAAGCATAATGTCCTCTTGGATAGAAATAAAGGAAAATTGAATGAGATCATCATGAAGCCAAAGGCCAAAATTTTCCTAGGGAAAGAGAGCACCTGGAAATATTACTCTAATGAATCAAGTTGTCAGAGCGTGCAAGGCCTGGAGGTGGGAAACAATTTCAGGATATTTAGTTAAAAGGATCATGGGTCAGGACATGGTCATAGCTCTGATACCTGTAGGAATTCAGCAAGGGAGAAATCAATTTAAGAGGAAATATAAAGCCTTGAAGAGTGGAATAAGGTTACAAAAAGGGAAATGGATCTAAGTGCTAACAATGATGGGGCCAGAAGAGAGGTAGGTGTTTTAATCATTGCTGAATCAGAATGGGGAACCAGAGGAATGGGGGAGAGGGTGCAGAGTACAGAGCAGTATGAACCCCAGGAAGGAGGAGCCAAGACCCAGGAAACACCTGAGGAGCACACTGCAGATCTCCAGTCTTTCATGAGATCAGAAAGGGGTCTTTCCCTTAAAGATTATAACAGCTTTTCAAAACCATTATATATAATATGGGCCACTTTAAGAAACACAATCTGGGAAGATGAGCATAAGATATTCAAAGGCTTCATTGGTGAGTTCCAGAGTGTCAACCATTGTAAGTAGAGGTGTTGGTATTACTCAGAGCCTAACTGAACATGCACAAAAAACTTTGGGACAGAGGCTTTGAAGGAAAGAGGAGACAAACAAAAGGGGATCCATGCAGGAAAACAGCAGAGAAGTCTAAACATGGATGTGCTACAACAGGAAAAGGGCCCTTCATGAAAGGCATCCACATCAAGGACACAAGAACAGACACAATTTGTTTTAAGCAAATGGTCTTGGCCAACTCTGAGCAGCTTGACCTTGCATCTGTCACCGAGGGAGACCACACAGTGAGACTATGGAAGCCATATTTGAAAATAAAGGTCAGGCCTGAAAGCATAGGGAAACAGAAGCAAAAAAAATTATATCCCTCTGAAATCCATAAAATAGGAATGGAGAAAGAAGGGGAGCACTCAAAGAAAATGGTTAAAATGCTAACAATAAACAAATAAAAACAACTCAGCTGACCCTTCCTACCACAGGAAGAGATATCAGTGGCAGGAAATATTTTTGTTGCCTGAATAGGATGGGTTATATTCAAATATAAGGGAAGACTTGCCAAAAGTGGTAGTGTACTTGGGAGGCTGAATCAGGAGGATCATACCTACATAGTAAGTTTAAGACCAGCCTAGACTACAGAGCAAGACTCTGTCTCAAAAACAAAAACAAAGCCAGAGAGAAGGGTTAGTTCTGAAGAAGCACAGTACCTGGCTCCTCTCAGGGCCCAAGTCTCACAGACTTCAGGAGAGCCTCTTTTCAAAGAAAAGGATTGCTTAAGCCTGTGCATAGAAGCTGAGAAAAAATAGGATTCAAGTGGTTTTAAATATACAAGTGGAAAAGGGGAGCAGCTAAAATAGGAGGTATGCTTTGAGGAAGACAGCCGTACAAGTCCCAAGACTTTGCCAAAAGACAGGTATGTTGGAAATGTCACTCACTGAAGGCCAAGACAGTGCCTGCACACAGACCCTCCAGTGGACGTAGGGCACAACATTTCCTGTCATTATTAAGCTTCTGATGGTGACAGGCCCTCTGGTGTGAACACCTGCCCCAGCTGTCCAGGGCTTACTGCAGCTGAAGACATTCTCTATCCTCCCCTCAAAGGAGCCCAAGTCTCTGCTCTGATCTTGGTAAGAGTAACATAGACCTGTGCTACACCAGGTACTAGGGTCAAGGAATGTAATGGTGGTTGAAATAAATTGATCTTGGAGTGGAGGACTTTATTATATATATTTAAATTTGTGAGTATAAATCGGTACTATGATAATTACATGTATCCTAATAAATCTTTGGATTATTTTATTAAAAGGATACGGGGTCTTTAGGACATATTAATGCCACTGTGACATGCTAATGAGGCCAGCTCATTTTACTGAAGGGGAAACCAAAAAACAGTTTTCAGTCAATTGAGATCCCTCTGGCTGAGGATAAGCAGAATAAGAAATTAGAAAGTAAGAAACCAAAATTTTGGTTAAGAATTATGACCTATGATATTCTGTACTTTAGTATACAAGAAAGTTAGAAGGATTTAATATTTGCTATTTAGCTTCTTCCAAGAGGAAAGAGCAGTGGGTGTACTGCTTAACCTCTGGTAAATTCTATTGGAAAATCTAGCTGGGCCTAATTTGGTGTGGAAATGATAATGAGCAGGGATCTGGGGGCTTGAGGTGCAGAATGGATTTTAGGAACAAGAGCTAGACTACTTGCTTGTGGTCCCAGGAACTTCAGGGGACTTTGATATATTGGGGTTCCCAATTTGCAAACTTGGAAGCAAGACTGCTCCCACATAACAAGAACTTGATTGCTAATACCAAAGGATTAAGAGACCAAAATCTGTAGATGGTGAAAGAAAACCTTTTCTCTATCATTCTGTTTCTTTCACAAGACAGGCTTTCATTTCTAGTACTGGGCACTGTGCTGTCTGTCCTTCTCTCTACCTCACTTCTACCCAAGGGAAGAATGACTCTTTGGATTGTTGAGAGGAGAAAGGAAAAAAGAAGCTTGCCAATTCCAGAACAAATGGTAAGTGCTTCTGCTCTGCTCCTCTGCCCACAGGAGGAATAGCTTCCGAAGGTAGTTCAGAAACTCCTCTCTGAACTATCCACAGAACTCATGGGGCTGAGGCATGGAGGTTGGGTAAGTATGTCTGTTCTGTAGACCTGACTCTCCTTTTGGGGGTCATCCTAAGCTCTCCCCAGGAGAGAAAAGAATCAAGGAGCCCTAATGAGTCCATTTATCCAAGTTGAGTTGTCCGATCCAGGTTATTTATTATGTTTTTTACCTCTATGTGCCCTTTTTACTCCTCAAATCTTTCCACATTCAGAACCAATTAAGGCCATGAGCACTGATCATCCTCGAGTCCTAGAGAACACTGTACTGATGGCAAAAATTTTTTGAGTATGTAGCCTGTGCCTGTGCCATGCACTACGTTAAGAATGATGTAAGCCTTGCTCCATTTAAACCTTATTAACTACTCTGTGAGGTGTACAGAGTGGTTTCTCCCACCTCACACATGAACAATCTGAGAAATTAGGAGCTTATGTGACCTGAAGAAGGCCATACACAGCTAGTGATGGTAGCTACCAGACATGGAAGTGGACCCATCCTGCTGACTGTTTTCTGCCACACAATCATCTCAACATTTTAGAAAAAGATGAGACTAGAGCTCCAGTTCATCTTTGTTGCATAAATTAGAAAATTACAAAAGCAGCAGTCCATTTTGAATAGTGCCTAAATGAGATCTTGTCTCAGATCTGTCCAACTGAGCTGTCCCACAGGCTTGATATAAGTTAAGATAAATTTATACTAGGCTTTAATCTTTGGCAAGTTGAAACCCAATTTTTCTAGCACCATTTATTAAAGAGGCTATCTTTCCTCCAGTGAGGGTGTTTGGCTCCTTTGTCAAAGATGAAGTAGCTAAGTGTGTTTGGAGTCATTTTTGCATCTTCTAATCTGTTCCACTGGTCCTGTTTCTTTGTTTCTTTGCCAGCACCATGCTGTTTTATCACAGTAGCTTTGTAGTATAGTTTCAAGTTGGGGATTGTGATACCCCCCTATCTTGTCTTTGTTGTCTACAATTGCTTTTGCTATTCTAGGTCTCTTCTTGTTCCAAATGAATGTTTGGATTGTTTTCTCAAGGTCTGTGAAGTATGCTGCTGGGATTTTAATTGGGTTGCATTGCATCTATATAGCAGTTTTGGAAGTATGGCTATTTTCACTTATTGGTTCTTCTGACTAGACCTATATCTTTCACTAGGCACTAAGATAAAATTGAAATGGATCAAAGATCTAAATATTAAAACAGAAACACTAAACCAGCTGGAAGAGAGGTTAAGTAGAATTCTTAAACACATTGGTGTAGGAAAAGATTTCATGATCAAAACCTCAGTTGCACGTGAACTAGCACAAAGGATCAACAAGTGGGATCTCATCTTATTAAAAAACTTCTGCACAGCAAGAGAAACCACCAGCACCATGAAGAGACAACCCACAATGTAGGGAAAAAATTTTAGCAGCTGTTCCTCAGACAAAAGTCTACTATCTAGACTATACAAAGAACTTAAAAAAATCAGACCCCCCAAATTTAAAGACCCAATCCAAAAATGGGCATCTGAAATGAACAGACATTTCTCAGACAAAGAAGTGGAAACAGCAAATAAACATATGAAAAAATATTCACTGTCACTGGTCATTCAAGAGATGCAAATGAAAACAATGATGAGATTCTACCTCACCCCAGAAAGAATGACTGCTATCAAGAAATCAACCAATAACAAATGCTGGTGGGGTTGTGGGGAAAAAGGAACCCTGCTCCACTGTTGGTGGGAGTGTAGACTTGTGCAACCACTGTGGAAATCAGTATGGAGATACCTCAAAGAACTAGGACTAGAGGTCCCATTTGACTCAGCTCTTTCCTTGCTGGGTATCTACCCAAAAGAATTAAAACAATCATACCACAGCAATATATGTGTAACCCATGATCATAGTGGCACAGTTTGTAATAGCTAAAACATGGAAACAGTCCAATTTCCTATTAACTGGAGACTGGATAAAGAAATTGTGATGTTTTTAATAAAATGGAGTACTACTCAGCCATAGGGAATGAGAAACTAGAAACATTTATAGCTAAATGGATGCACATTGAGGTGATACTCTTAAGTGAAATAAATAGGACACACGTGTAAATACCAAATAGTTTCTCTGGTGTGAGAAACTGAAAGTGTAAATAATGACTAAAAGGTATAATAGATAATGTGAAATAGGAAGAAAAGGGACAAAGGGGAAGGGGAAGTGGGAGGGTTAGGGGAAAAGAAAGAAGGGAATGGAATTAATATGAGAAAATGAAAAAATGGAAACAAAGTCTTTGTAAACAGGGAGCAATAGAGGGGCTGAAAGGAGGGTAGGGGAATGGGGAAAAAATAAGAATCAAGAGAGATTATGTAAAGGTACAAATTCCCAATGATGAATGTCTTCATACTGTATACCTAAAATGTACCAATAAACTTAATGAATAAAAAAATTTATAATAAGGTGCTTCAACTTTTAATTTCTATATTTTTATTCATAATACTAATTTTGTAGCTATGAACTTTTACCTGAATTTTGAAGAATCAATGTGGCTAGATCCATAAACTGGTACCCTAAATTGGCATTGAACTTCTGTTACTATGTGAGGATATTTTAATGTGGTAGCATGGGTAATGAATACCAATAGTCCCTAGCTCTTAACACAATCTTGTATAAAAATGGTTAAATATAGCCCTAATAAAATTCTTTTCATCTTAAAAGATTGCCCTAAGTGTTTCATTGGGATTTTCCCTCAATTATTGTATTTTAGCTACTCACATAAAAAATTTTAAATTATGACAGTCTTTAAGATACCAGAAAGAATGACTTTTAAACCATAAATATAAAAAATAAAATCAATTTAATTGTAAGCTACCAATTTGATTATAATTCTGACAACTCAATGTTAAAATTGATAAGCACTTCAAATTTTTACATACATTATTTCTTAGAGAGTAAAATAAAAATATACTGCAAGAGCTTGCAACTATCATAATGAAATGGAAAAATATATTTCACACTTGAATCATATTTAAGGTTCTGAAATTATCATTAAAACTTATCCACTATAGCCCTTCAATTATTTATACTTTCATACTATAGAAGTATACTGTAAAAATTTTGCCTTTGGAAGAAAATGCTAAGCTGTAAGAATAGGCAGCTACCTCTCTGTTGTTTCCTTCTAAGGAGACTTCTGGGTGTCGTATTTTACCTCTGAGATGGGCTTCTCATAGACATCATCTCCTAGGGACTTCTCTTGGGCCAGGATGGCATCTCGGTGCAGGACCCGAAGCACTTTCTCCGGCTCTGCAGATCCATAATGAGCCTCCAGAACCTCGGGTTTGGTTTTCTCCGTCTTCAGCATGTGGATCACATCTTCTCTGGCCTGTGGTAGAAAGTGCAGCAAGGTCAGATAATTAGTCATCTAAATCACACACGAGGCACAGAAAATTGAATGGAGATTATTGAATTGATCCCCACCTCTTCACGAGTATTGGCAAATTCACTGAGTATTCTGCTCTTATTTTTTACCAACAGCAGATTGGCAAGCAGATATTCTGCTTTGGGTTGCTAGCAAGCAGGCAAGTAGAAAAGGGTTTGTGCTAATATTAACCACATAAAAATTGCCTGATCTGAATAGCAGTGATTTGGGAGAGGGCAGGATAGAGTTGGTCCTGGGATTCCTAATCTGTTTCAGTGCACACGAGCTCAATGACAATGTAAAATCTTCTAGTTTTCTATTTATGCTTTCAATGTTGTATCTAAATCTGGTTTAAAGGAAAACCCTGCTCTGTCCATTCTATATAGCTCCGTGCTAATTATAGTTAGCTATAACTCCATGTATAATCAACAAATGTCCTTATTAGTGATTTCCTGTTTCCCATCAGATAATTCATTTTTGCACAGAAACACATGGCTGTGAACTCACATTATGCTGGGCTGGGCTTTGTAATCTAACGTATTCACCCTGAAAGTGAAATTTTACTCTTTTAACATCCAGATTGCTACCATGTGAGTCAGGTTGGTGGGATTATGCCTGTTATTTTAATTTCTTAGCACAACTAAGATCTTGCTGAAGCTCCAGAGGAAAACCATGTGATTGTAGGTTTTATATGGCATTATCTTTGGTCCTCATCACATAATGCAAACACATCTGGATGCATTTTTTACTGGTTGGGTGCGAAGCTGTTTCTAGTCATGATGGAGCTGACATTTACTGAATGTACTCCCGGGATATACCAGAGCTGTTTTTCCTGCAATGGTGATGGCCTACATATTCTGACTTCATTCCAACTTGTACTAAAGAACAAACTGGCTGGGAAGAGAGTTTCAGTCTGTGACGGTGGAATACAGTTTTCTCCTGTATTAATGCTAACTACGTGTCTGAAACAATAAACCTGGATCATTATGATGGCTGCCTAAACAAGAGAGAAACCACAAGTACTATATTCACAATATGACCATATGAAGTTTATGTTTCTTGAGGTTTCCCACTTTTACTGCATTTTCAGTCTCCAAATTAATCTAATTCCAGATGGCTGAAGACTGCTTTATTTCTGAGACATCAATGAACTGAAATTTGCATATTTCAGCATCTCTGCCACATATACATGTGCTCATTTCAAGACAAAAATGGAAAATATGAATTTTGAAGAACCTATTGATATGGAATGGTAGAATATTGTTGAGGTCAGAAAATAGGTTAATGAGAGGCAATGTGTCTCTTTGCAGAAGGAAAGGACCTACCCATTGTCTCAGAGGCAGGTCCATCTGCACCATGTCTTAGTGCAAGTTAGAAAAGGGTACCTGCTTAATCAAGAAGCTACATCCCTGAATCAGGGTGCAGCTTACCTGGTGAGAGAAGAGTAGGCCTAACTCCCTACTGTACATGGCAGTCCTGTACCAAAGGAGCCTCAAGATGTATACATCACTACTGGGCTCAAGGAAGGAAGGATTCCTAAGTTCACAGCTCACACAAGTGAACACAGTCACATCTTCTAAAGAAATAGTTCTCAACCCTGGCTGCACTGGAGTCTCCAGAGGAACCGCAGAAAATCTGAATGCCCAGGCCATCCCAAACCACCTACACCCAAATCTCTGGGAGAAGGACTCATACACTGGTACCTTTCAGAAGTTCCAGGTGATTCCAGGGTTGAGATTACTGTGCCCATTGCCAGGTGTGAATGTGACCCCCAAGGATTCGTGTGCAGGGAGCTGGGTTCTCATTGTGGATATGAAGGGTAGTAAAAGTTTAAGAGCTGAGACCTAGTGGAAGTTAAGTAGATCCTTGGTGGGTAGTTCTCCCAGGACCCTGGCAAGTCCCTGAGAGAGCAAGCTATAGAAAAGAACAAGTTGGCTCCTGGATCTCTCTGGCTTCCTGTCACGTCTTATGATGGCTTGCTCCCTCCCTCTCACACACTCTTCTGCCATGGTGCCATCTGTCATGCTGTGGTGCTGCCAATACTCCTCTCACAAGAGACCAAGCTGATGGGCTTTGGAACCTTCAGCTCCAAAGCTGTCAGCTGAATGCATTTTCTTTCATAATAAAGTACCCAGGCTCCGGCATTTTGTTACCGACACACTAATTGGTTAAGATACAGAGTAACTAAATTGAATATGAATGTAAATGTATGGCATTATCCGACCTAAACTTTCTATTTTGCTGCAAGTGCTTTTTTTTTTTTTTTTAACTGTCTTTAGAATGGTGCTGCAGCCTTTCTTCTTTATGTCATGCTCACATCTGAGGTCAACCTTTTACTTTGACCAAATTTTATCTTGAAAGGAGAAACTGCAAATTCAGTAATTTATGGAACGAGGAGGAGGAAAAATTTAGAATCACATTTGAAAGTGAAAAAATGGTAATGACAGAAGGTTGTCCATCTAGAAGTTTCCACAACAAATCATTGTCTTTTTCCTCATCTCTAAATCAGAAGTATGTGCTGTTTTCTAAGACTCACATTTTAACATGTTAACTACAAAGACTTACAGGGAAGACATAAAATATACTGTCTTGTGAAAACAAGGAGACTATATTGGCATTTGTATAATAAATTGAGATGTTGATTCAAAGTGAAATGTAAATATTTCACATGTTCTACTCCCTGCTCTCTAAAAAAAATTACAGTGGATATGTAAAAAAAAAAAAAGAAGAATAAAAATAGAACTCAAATTCTTCAGAAAAGAAATCATTGTAGAATCTTAGAAAATAGATTGGACCAGATAGTACTTTTATAATTAAAAAGGCTTTTGAAACACCAAAAGGATAAACACTAAAATTTTTGGTGGTAAGATTAAGGGCTATTTTTATCCTCGTTTTTGTTGATATGTATTTTATGAACTTTTAAGAGTGATTATTTAATTAATTTTATAAAAAGAAACAAAGTTGTATTTTCATAATGAAAGAAGAAATACTTAATTATTTCTATTTCACACAAATGAGACAAAAGAAATGGTTTAGTAGAAAGTTTTATTTCATATGCCTGACGGTGAAAAAGCATCATTCTGGCTATACATAAGCCCATGCACACTGCTGTGGGAGTTAACTAAGGTTGATATAAAACCAAACATCACAAAGATTATACTATACCCTCTAGGCATTGTCTTGATATCTTTTAGAATATGAATCCAGAGATGAGACAGCCACTAAGGTGAGTAAATGTACCAACAACTAGGTGGTGTAGGGAATATAGGTTTTCCAACTAACATTTATTCTGATTTAGTCATTCTAAATGGACAGATGAAGGAATCACAGCAGAACTACTTGCATATGGAAGTAGTGAAAAAACTGCTTGTCTCTAATTATGGATAAAAGTAATCAGAAAGTGGCTTTCAAGTGTAACTGGTATCAAATAATCTTAAGAGTAGAACCTGGACTACTAGTTAATACAAGTTTACATGTCCTGAGCATAAAAGAACCCACATAAATCTTAAAGCTCTCAGGCAAACAAAATTTGAATTAAAACATGCATATAATCACATCATGGTATGGTAGAACAAGCACATGTTTAAAGAGACGCAGGATTAATTTCCAATCATAGCTGTGCTGTGAGGTTGCTAACAATGATTTGACTTAATTTTATCATCTATGAAATAGGAGCATATTAACTTTCTTACAGGATTGTTGTTAGGATGGATTCAGATATAAAATGCATGCTATAGAATTCGGACACAGTGAATGTAAATCAATGGTAACAATGTAGTTTTTGTTGGGTTTCCATCATTAGATGACCTTAGGCATACAGGAAGAAAAGGAATTTTATAAGATATATTTTCCCTCACCAAATATAAAATCTAAGACTGAAAGAGTTTAACCATCTATACATTTCACAATTTGCTCTTATGTGTATTTTTTCCAAAGGAGTTTTAAGACCAGAACAGCTTGTTTCCAAATGTTATTTAATCTCTTTGACTCTGTTTCCTGTAAAGTAGGGAAGCTAAGCCCTCTCTATCATAGCGACTTTGTTATGTTCTAATAAGGTAACACAAATAAAATGCTTTGAAAACTGTAAACAGGTAGCTATTTCAGTTAAATACTTTAAGCTATTCAGTTTAAAACTTTGTAAATATTATTGGCATTTATCTTTTTGATCAAATCTTCCTGATTCTCTTAGAAGATAGCTTCTACTGTTTCAACTGATATGAAACACATATTACCTCTTACTAAAAATCCACTATATTAACTGTAATGTGCTGCATATACCACTTTTCTTCTTAGTTTAAGTATCCCAGACCAGTGATGTGAACCTATGACATACATGCTAGAGCCAGCTGTTTGTTATCATTGAAAGCTCTAAAAAGTTTGTTGTCACTGTCCTAGACTCTAATTACCAAGGTAAAGAGTCTAACATGATGTAATACTGTGTGTTATTTATTTAGAACCACACTATTCAGCATAAACTTACTACTGGCCTTTTAATTGTGACAATAATAATCACGGAAGGGAAACAATACTGTCTTTAAATTCCTGTTACAGTTTTAAATAGTAAATCATTAATTAGTAGTCCTTTTAATCAATGGATTAGTGAAGATGACCATGTGATCACAATACATTTCTTCACTACTCCAAACATACAATTCAATCTATGTAAAAAAGTTGCATTTTAAAAAAATAAAACCACTTCACATTTCAAGTTTGAGAAACTTGTTAATTTTTCTACAAAAGAATAAAATTTCAATCTCAGAAAGCTTGGCATCCTTAAAGCTTATTTTCACACAGAAGTTTAATCAAAAGCAAGTGATTAAAGTTCTGGGATTCTGGGAAGCCCCTAAAGAGACCCAAAAAGAAGAACGCTTTGAAGAGGATTCTCAAACTGAGCTGCCTTCTTCTATCCAAGAGCAGGAAGAGAACTGAGCGAAGAAGAGACAATGAAAATGTTCAATTTGTGT